TCCAGAAGCTACGAAGACGCGAATCGCCGAATCGCTCAAGGACAACTTTTGTGATAAGTCCCGCCCGTCGTCCGAGTGTTTTAAATGCTATTTTTTCCCATACTTTCGCCGATCTGTGATAGCCTAGTCGACTGAGGCGCCCCATTTTTTTGATAAGGTGCGGGCAATAGGTGATCGGGAGTTCGATACCCGGCGATGGGTGATAACTTTTAATGGTTGTATTGAATGTTTTAGACCAATCATCAAAAAATAATTAATACTAGATGATGAATGTACGAACATTTTCTCGTGAGTTAATATGTTAAACAAAAATACTGGAATATACCTCCTTCATATAATCAGCCACATGTTCCCCCAAATTAATGACGTTATTTTCTTTTTTCAATAAAGTTAATTTGCATTCAACGTTCGTAAGTTAAGCAAAAAGTACCTATCGATACAAATAGAAAGACATGAAAATAGTATGCTAACATTTCAGTTTTTTTTTAATTTATTTATTTTTTGTTTTTTTGTTTTTTCAATACAACAAATTGACTGGGACTAGAATCATCGTATCTCTGAAGACAAAAGCTAAGTTTTTTGATACAGAAATACTAATATATTCATCCTTTATGTAATCAGGGAGATGTTGACCCAAATATTGATGTATATTTTCTCTGTTCGCCCAAATTAATGATGGTATTTTCTTTTTTCAATAAAATTAATTTACATTCCACGTTCTTAAAGCAATATTTTCTCCAAAATTCAGCAAAAAATAACAATATATACCTACGCAAAAAGTAAATAAATAAATAAAGCAATGACATGAAAGTAGTATAGGTAGTACACATCTAACATTTCGGTTACATCTATTTGAATGAAAATAATGGCAACTTAGGAAGCACATAGGTCACTTATCGACGGTGAAACTACCAAACCACGTATCTCGGTTTGCGACGTCGCAGACTTCCTGTCATACTTTATTTTTTAAATGAAAAGCTACTTAACGTCCAGTCTTGAAAATTTCCGTGATTTTTCCTCTTCGTGCGGAGAAAATTCTGTGAAAATTTCAAGGAATGATATGGATTTGGTCTACTTCAAAAAAATAAAATGTTAGCGGAGATTTTTAAACACCGCAAACGAGATACGTGGTTTGGTAGTTTCACCGTCGTTATGATGCGTATTCGGGCATATGCGTAGAGTAAAAATATCATACTTTACGCCGAAAAAACGAAACTGAAAGTTAAATGCGTTAACTTCCAAAAACCATACATAATCCAACGAAAATAAATAATTGGTAAAAAACAGCTTTCTTGTATGCAAAGAAAAAAAATTAAAAATGTTAAAAAAGAGATGTCGACACAAAATTACATAGCCCCTTCAATTCTGAAGATACTACAAACGAACTGTACCTACCTTAAAATTTTCATATCCCAGAAGCAAAAGTTCCCATGACGAATATTGCTATCGCTAGCGATTGCAAAAACCAACTTGTTGTCACTTTTTTTTGCTTGAAGACCACTGCGCATTACTCAATTGGAGAGATTACCGTAAAGCAATTTTGCGTATTAGAGTTTATTGGACCTGCTCTGCCACCAAAAAACCATGGTAAAAACTGGATTGCATTTTGCGAAAAGGAACCAAGAGCATACCAATGTTGCTAGGATTGTGTAACTTACATTGATTGCAAAAACTTACTGAAATCATGCAAAAAATTAAATTTACGGAGGCTTTTTTTTTTTTGCTTCAAGACCACTGTGAATATATTTCTTCGGTAGAAAGGCTACCTCAAAAGGAAAAACCAAGAGAGCTTGAACAGTTTTTATTTATTTCATTTCACTTCTTGCATCCAGAAAAATCCGATCCGGGAGGTAAACCCCGCAGTGATTTGTCCCGGACTTCTTCTCTTTCAATTTTAAATCGCCGACCATTGAGGCGAAAAAAGGTGGAGCGAAAGATGTCTCTGAATCATTCGCGCCCCTAATTCGTCCCTCCGCGGGCTGGGGGGGGGAGGGTGGTTTGACGAAAGGGTGAGCGCGGGAAAGGTCGACTGCGCCTTTGCAAAAGCTGAGTAACCTTGAGTATGTGTTACGTCATCTCGCGTCTGCGTCTGACACGTTGTCAACTTATTCGGAAAAGTAAGATTTCCGAAATCAGTTTGAAGCTCGTGATTTCGATGCGGCTGAGGCCAATTAATGTGGCGTAAAAAATGGGTCTATCGCACTGAAAAAAATTCTCGGCGTTTTTACCAAAGTCTGTTGGTAACTTTACCATCTCTCTTTTGTTACCAATTACTCGTAATGTTACCAGGACATGTTGGTAGGCTTACCCAAAAGAAGGTATTTTTACTCGTTATTTCAGGTAAGAATGCCACTTTTATTGGTAATCAAGTTCCGGTAACTGTGCCATTTTATCACGGTAATTCTACCAAAGTGGAAAAAAAATCTTGGTGGTTCACCGATTTTAGTCCGGTATAATTAACATAATTCGGTAAAATTACCGGGAAAGTTCAATAATTTTACCGAGAATTCTTGGTTAAAATACTATATCCCAAAATGGTAACTTCACCGGAAAAAAAACCGGGATCAAATACGACCGGGAATTCTCGGTAGCGGTTGCCGTTTTCTCGGTAACAACGCCGAGAATTTTTTTTTTCAGTGCGGTGAAATTGTGTGTTGGTCGATTGAAGGGGAGAGACTAAGGTAAAATGGAGTTTTATGATTGGTTGGCTTCGTTAGTCTTCTTCATCGTGGATCGTGGCCGGGCGTGAATGATCGATTATCGATATTTCCCCATTTGAAAATTTGGTGAGGAATCGATTGTTGAGATGTTCGTTGCGAACACCTGTTTATCGATCATTTTCCGTAGGTTTAAATGGTAGATTAATCGATATATCGCAAAGCACGCCACGCCACTGGCGCATTGCGCCTGTCTAGTGACATTGGATATAATGTGACGAGCTATCAGCGATGGAGATGTTGCATGTGTGAGGAATTTGCGATTTGACGGTTGATTCTAATGTAAAAGTTTGCGAGAAACACGATGGTGCCACTGGTTTTCTCTGAAATTAACTCCCAAGCTCAAAAAAAGCTCTCAAGTTGAAGTCAAAAGGAAGGGGATATCCCACGCTATCCTGAGAGTCCACGTCTACATCAAGACAAACTCTTAATGCAAAGATAGGGATCAAATACATTGACAAGGCTACCACTTTATTTGGGGACTCTAAAACTGAAAACACAGCATCACTGCTGATGTATTTGATCCCTATCTTCGCATGGAGAGTTCGTCTTCATGTAGGAGTGGACTCTCAGGGTGGGGTGGGATATCCCCTCCATTTTGGCCTCAACTTGAGAGCTTTTTTTGAGCTTGGGAGATGATTTCAGAGAAAACCAGTGGCATCATCGTGTTTCTCGCGAACTTTTACGTAAGAATCAACAGTCAAATCGCAAATTCCTCACACATGCAACATCTCCATTATCAATTAAACCTTCATTATGTCGTAGCCGATGCGTATCATTGCATTTCATGGAAACAAGCGGGCGATTGCTAATTGCCTGCGAAAATATAATAAAAATTATCATAGGTATAGCAAATTTGAACCTCTGTCAATAGTATCACGATGGCTGAAGTGCGAAACCACGTATCATAATTGCGGTCTCTCAAAAATTCTGCTCCTATTTTATTTTTTCTTAGAGAAGCAAGCCAACTATATGGCTTGAGATCTCTACGGAATATTCTGCTAACTGAGAAGGAATTTGAAGGAAGTTCTCAAAAACTTGAGTTCACCCAATTTCCAATGACAAAAGAAAGTACGTCAGGAAGTCTGCGACGCTTCAAACGAGGGTACGCGTATTTGCGCTTTGACCATCGATTTCTAACATATTTTTTAATCGTTGAAAATATCGTCGAAAGCTCAAGCTAAGCTCAAAATATTTGTGAACAATTTTTTGAAAAATTCTTGATAAATTTTCAAAAATACTTTTAAACCATTTCATGAATATTTTGGGCTCTACCAAGAGGTTGCATCAGTGACGATTATAACGGGGAAAAATTGTCTCACAGATCTAACAATTAAGTTGTTAAAAAAAAGTGTCTGACATGTCTCAAAGTGGAATACAAAAAAAGAAATGGTAATTTAGCTACCCCTGTGGTTGAATTAGCTTTCCAGTATTGCAAAATGTACGTTTGAAACATGTCGGGCAATATTTTTTAACAATTTAATTTTTTATCAGCAATCCATTTTTTCCGTGAAAAAATATCGTCAAATTCAGCTCAAGCTAACCTCATATTTCCAAACAAATTTTTCAAAATTCTCGATAAATTTTCGAAATTACTTTTAAATAATTTCAGAGATATTTCTGGTTTCACCGGGAGGTTATTTCAGCGACGATTATGAATACACTCCTCAAGACAAATCTTTTTGCATTGTTGAAAATATCGTCAAATTTAGCTCAAACTATAACCTCAAAATATTTTCAAACAACTTATTCAAAATCCTAGATACATTTTCAAAAAATCCTACATCTACCTATCTTTGATATAAATTGATTTAAATCTTTAAAATTATCGTCAAATTTAGCTCAAGCTAACCTCAAAATAATTTCGAACAAATTTTTCAAAATTCTCGATAAATTTTCAAAAACACTTTTAAATCATTTCAGAAATATTTTTGGTTCTACCTATCCTTGATATAAATTGATTTAAATCGCTAAAAATATCGTCAAATTTAGCTCAAGCTTTCCTCAAAATATTTCCAAATAAATTATTCAAAATCCTCGATAAATTCTCAAAAAAAAAATTAAATCATCATATAAATATTATTGGTTCTACCCGGTAGGTTATTTCAGTGACGATTTTGAGCACAATCCTCGATATATTTTTTTTTGAATCGTTAAAAATGTGGCTCCTTAAACTCACACGAACCGACAACACGGCTTCAGGAGGCGCAAATGCCGCCCAACCTACGGCTGCGCGCGCACTCGATGGTCCTTTGAGAGGCTGAGCCCCCTCGCGCCCAGCGCGCTGCGCCGGCCGCACCGCTAGTCGCGACGCGCTCACCGGGCACACCGCTCTCAACTTCCGCTCCTCCGCACGCCATTTCCGCTTTCCCGGCCCGTTTCCGGTCCACGTGACTCACACCGGCGAGTTTTCCCTTTTTTGTGCGGTCCCCGAGTTTACACCGATTTTCGCGTTATTTTCGCAACACCGAATTTCTGCATTTTCCGGATAGAAATATATTTGTTCTTCACAAATTTTTCCCCCTCTGACTGTTTTTGGCCCCGGACCGCGTGTTTTCAAGTTGGATATTTTTCATCTCTCCAGAATTTTGGCAATTTTTAATTAATTAATTATTAATATTATTTTTTGGATAGTTTCTGCATTTTCTGGATAAAAATCTACGTATTATTCACAATTTTTCCCCCTCTGACTGTTTTTGGCCCCGGACCATGTGTTTTTGAAGTTGAATATTTTCAATTTCTGCAGAATTTGGATACTTTTTAATTAATTAATTATTAATTTAATTTTTTTGATAGTTTCTGCATTTTCTAGATAGGAATCTACTTATTTTTCATAATTGTTTACTTGTTCTGACTGTTTTTAACCCCAGACCGTGTATTTTTAAATTGGATAGTTTTGTAAAATTATTGTAAATATTCGGTCTCACCGAAATTTTTCAGTTTATGTGTGTTGAGAATGTCTTTAATGCCTATTTCGAATAATTAAGTTGTGATCCCTACGAAGGATTTTTCGAATTCGGTGATTCAAGTTGAAATTCGTCGTGCATAAACTACCGGTTATTTTTTCAGTGTTCAGTAAGGATTGTTGATATTCAATTTGATCGCTGAAAAGGATAACTACTAATTGTGGTAAGTAAACAATTTTAAGCTGGCTTTCCTCTCCTGAAGATGATTGAATATTTCATCGCTGTTTTTCTTTTATTGATTTGCTGAATCCTTTTTTATTTGCCAATTTTATGTTTTTATGATATTAATAATTTAGTGTGATTGGTAGTTATGCCCTGGTCGTTCGAAAAAGGAGAAGAAGAAGAGGATAAAGTTTTGTACTTACGGGAAAAGGGCCGGGCGTCCAAAGTTTTTGATTCCCTTGCTATTTGCGTATGGTAATTGTGATTTTTTGATATCTCAAATATGTTTAATTTACCAATGGCGAATGGGAATTTAGTTTAGTAGTTAACCCTAGTTTTAAGTAATTTATTTGTGATCTTCCGACAGACTTTTTCAAGCTCATGTTCCTCTTTTAAACAAAACTAATTCACATTTCAAGCGATTTGGACTAAAAAAGTGTGTACGCCTTTAGGTAGTAATTTAGTGGAATAGTAACTTGTAACTACTAATCTGGTAACTAAGTAGGTAATCAACTCTCTTGCGACAGCATGGGCTGAACATTTCTGTGCACAAACGATTGTATTTTATGTGTTTCAGGATTTTTTATATTGAATTCGATTGCTATTTAGGATCACTGATCATGGTAAATTGAATAATTTGTATACCGTCTAAAAGGATTAGGTGGAAGAGATTTAGGTGTCATCAATTTTGAGGTGACTTTTTTTGGATGGGAGTCGGCTTTTTTACTTTTTCAGCGCCGTCAAAAGCCAAGAATACACATTTTGAACCTAGTTTGTATTACCTAGATAAGTGAATTATATACTCAATACTTTGGATTTACGAGTAATCTGATGTGCAACTTCTTAAAACTTCTCTTGCTGTTCAGGGAAAATGTAAATCATATAGATGTTTTTAGATTTTTCTAACTTTGATTTCCGTAAAAATCGTGAAAACTTGTAAATTTTTTTACCAGGTTTTAGTGCATGTTCGCAAACCAATAAAAAACTACCTTCTCCCTGGTTTTGTACAGTTTTTGCACTAGATTTTATGAGCCAGATATCGGGTTTTTTAACTTGCACAGTTTTTTTTTTTTTTTTTTTTTGAGTTTTATGTGGAAAAAAATGAAAAATGCATAGGAAGACGTGCATTAAATTTTTTCGTGTAGCGCTAGTTTCCGTCATAATAGTTTTTCAGGAATTTTTTCATCAGCGTTAGTTTGCTGTAAGTTGCGGGTAATTTTGCTACAGCAAAAATAGATTGCCTGGCGTACGAGTTTGCTTTGTGAAGTTTTTAGAAATACGGTGTGGATCATATTTCTCGTGGAGTGAGTCCTGAAGTGTTTCACGTAAAAAATAGAAATGTCATGGATTGATATCTCTTCATTGTGGCTGCGCGCTTTAAACATTCAACAGTTGGTTAGTTAATTAATTACGACGATTAGGAGCTGAGCTATTTACGTCGAGGACCAGGAATTTGCCTTAGATTTTAAAATTCACTATTTGAAAGAGCTTTAAAATTTCGGTAGTTACTTTGGATCATCAGAGTTTGAAAGATGGATATTTGGAGGGAAGTAAATTTGAATTTCGTTGCGTGTAGCATAGGTTTTTTGGGCAAGATAGCAAAGTATGGTCGATTTTGAGGGGAGAATGTTGACATGGAGAGAAAAATGGAACTGGAGATTTTAAAGTTAAATGAAAATGAGAGAAAAATATGGCCGATTTGTAATTTTGCGGTTTGGACTTCATTAAAAAGTCAAAACTTGACAGCCAAAAATCCAGAAAAAAATATATATATAGAATTTCCGTAAAATAGAATACACTGGGGAAAAAAACATATTCGATCTAGAGTCCAGACTCTTAAAAACATTGAAAAGAAAAATACTCTTGATTCAATCGGATTTTTGCTTAAATCAAAAGGAAATCCACTCAAATTAAGAGGCTTGGTTCTTGATTAAGCAAAAATCCGATTGAATCAAGAGTATTTTTTCTTTTCGATGTTTTTAAGAGTCTGGACTCTGGATCCAATGTGTTTTTTTTCCAGTGAATACTTCAAATTACTTTTCCGTTTTATTCATTCGTAAAAAGCCCATTGTGGCAAAAATGCGTCAATTATTTCCGATAATGTAGAAACTGTGAAGTTCCAAGCCGCTCTCTGTTAATAGCCGTAGTTTTACGCACGCGTCCGCACTCAAAATGACGCAACTTGCACGCGTGTGGTATAGTACCTCGCCGAGGCAAAACCACATAACTCCATTGAAAAACCCGCCGACATACGAGGTTTTTGCTCCGTATTAGCGCCCACGATCGCTACCTATTCCCTCCGAAACCATGGCTGAGGCGGTCATCCTGTCAGGGCATTGCACACCGATGTGTCCTTGGACAACGCACCGTTCTTTCAAAGAGCGAGACACGTGATTTGAAAAACAGAAAAAACCAACAACAAAACCCATCAATCAATTTAAGCGCACTGAATACCTACTTGGTTCAGTCTGCGGTCAGCTATTATTTTGCGTCCGGATCAACATTGCCATGCAGACCCCGAGACAACTATTTCACTACCAGTATATGAAAAGCGACAGTTGTGAATTAAATTTCATGGAAGATGACCACTCTTCATAGCGTTGGATACCTCAATGGCATAGAGAAAGAAAAGGAGGTGTTTGAATTTCGAGCATCTTGGAATTTTTTTGATGACGTAGGTCGGTACGGCGACTTTTATCATCGATTTTCTTGGAAATGGTGTAGTTTATCGGAAAAATTCATACTACATAAAGTGTTTGAAATTATCAGTTGATTTAAGCAAAAAAATCGGACGTTATGGTCCGTTTTTCATAATTCGAATTCCGGATTTTGCTGACCAGGTTGTACCGACCTACGTCACAAGGCACACAATCCTCAAGATGCAAACACCTCCATTTTTTTCTCTATGCCTCAATGGCCTCAAAAACACAAAAATATTAAGTTAAATAGGAGAGGGTTTCAGGAGTTTTTGGGTTTTTCGGTTAGAAATTTGTTTTTTTGAGGCCATTCCTTTCATTTTACCCAAGAATTAAATCGCCGTTTGAGGGGCTTGGAGGGCAAGGCGCATAAGCAATTTTTTAAAAACAATTGAGATATTGATGAGCTCACCTAAAACTAGTTTGAAAGTATATTCTGTGAAAAATTCACGACTGAAATCCGACTTAAAAGCATCAAGAAGTGACTTTAAACTTTCTTTCCGCCACGGGGCTCCGTGTAATTTTGAAACTCCAAACACGTATTTCTCGAAATTGCAAAAACTGCACTAATGCGCCTTGTCCTCAAAGCCCCTCGTTTCTCAACATTACGCTCGACGCAATTTTGCTCTAAAATAGCACCTTTATCAGCCGAAATTCATGTTATTTATCCTGAAAGATCCAAGGCATCTTGATTTCTCCTAAAATGACCATGGATATTTGCCGGCTTTTTTTCTCGGTTTCCGAAAATTAAATCAACATTTTTCGAAAATATTTTACACTCCGATAGTTTCCTGAAAGTAGCACCTTTACAAGCCAAAGTTCAAGTTTAACTCCGAAATCTCCTGAAATCCTCCTTAAACTTGATATTTTGATAATTTTCAGGCCATAAATGAATGTCAACGCTAAAAATTGAAGTTCATCAAAATTCGATTGCATTTTGCGAAAAGAAACCAGAAGAATTGCAATGATGCTAAGATTGTGCATTTTCATTCTTTGCAATGAAATTACTGAAACCATGAAAAAATATGAAATTTATATTGTAATTTTTGCCTTAAATTTACAGTTTTTAGCGAGTAAAATAGAGACTGTTAATAGATAATCAGGTTTTTCTTCCAAGACAAAAGAAGTTGCTCAAGTTTAGCAACATTGCAATGCTCCTGGTTCCTTCTTGCAAAACGCAATCCAATTGATTGCTAGATCATAAATGGGGAGGGACTAATTTATGCATTATCGCGGTGGATGACGTCGCTCACTGCTTTGCCAGTAATTTCAGGAATTAAATTTTCCTCCTTTGATGTGGGAGAGGTTACAGATCCCGGAAACGGTGCTGGAATGTGAACATTGTAACTTTGAGTTCACGCAGATGTGTAGAGGTCTCGTTGACGAGAGATGCGTGTATCTGTAACGTTCGTGTCGAGTCGTGCGTTAGTGCGAGTAATGTGCGTGTAACGCGACCAACGCGACGCACGACTGCGTTACGGACTCGTCCGATCCCCCGAAACCTCGCTTTGAACTCGAACTGTTCATCATTCACGTCGAAACTATGACGTCACTGTGGAGGAGAGCATCAATATGATGAGTGGTATAGGCAGGCAATAAAAATTTTAGGTGTTCTATGGGCCTAAAAGCGAGGTCAGTGGAAATGCTTTATCATACAGACCCCCCTCCCCCTCCTTGCACCAGTAAATTTAACGCGCAATTTAATCTGGAAATTTAAAGATAAGATATTTATACCTTTACTTATGAATAACGTTTTTATTGGAGTAAAATTTGACAACGTCCGAATGTTCATACGGCGTTCTCCCTTAGCACGGATACGGTCGCCTTACTCTAGAGAAAAGCTCTGGCTGGTTCTCTATGAAAAAACGTCGTAATCACCTTTATTCAGATGTCGCCAAATTTCCTTTGACCAATCACGAATTTTCAGGAGTATTTAAAAGTATTTTTCACCTGATTTTTCAAAGAATTTTGTTAGTACTTTAATCTGAAACATCTAGGTAAAAATGTTAAGGAAAAAAATTTCGACGTCCAAAATTAAAAGTTTTCACCATTGTTGAGACTCGGAGAGTCGTCTATATTTATCTCCTTAGCTGCCAATGGCGTGGCGTGCTTTGCGATATATCGATTGTTATGCCATTTAAACCTATGGAAAAGGATCGATAAACAGGTGTTCGCAGCGAACAACTTAATAATCGATTCTTTACCATAGGTCTAAATGGCATAACAATCTATAGATCGCAATTCACGCCACGCGCCACTGTTAGCTGCCTATGTCTCATGAAAATCGCAGAGTAAATCGCAGGCG